TACCCGGCGTATCTAACATACTGTATACTAAAGCAAATAATAACTGATTAAGTGGTGCGATACCTACAGCTTTTTGACTATTATACCTAACTGATTACACATCAATCTTTAATAAGCACCCATCAAAATATTGCCAGTTTGTTCGATCTTGATCTCCATACTGAATCCATACACACAATTGTCAAGCAGAATGCACTCTTTCTTCAGACCAGATTTTGGCGCAATTTGAACTTTGCGCGGCATTGTCTGCTAACATTATTATAAATTGTTGATGACAACCTGGTTTGTATGTTAGCTCAGTTAGTTATTTGCTACATCACATCTGTATGGGGTTAAATTTCATGCACGCATAACCACCACTCTTACCACCTCGACTAATAATGCTGTGGTGACCAACACCTTCAAGCTAATTCAATTTATAGGCGTGCGGGTCCTCATACTTGAGTTAATTGTACTGTGTAAATTTATAAGCCCACAACTTGTGTGATTGATTTACACAGTACAACTCAAGTTGTAAGCAGGTTGCATGCGACAGTTTTAGGCAAAAGTTGTGTAGTGCAAATTGGCCTTTACCGACAAGGCTATGATGCAAAATGCAGGCCAAAATTAGTTATACCAATTAATTTTCACGTGACGTCCGTGTTGACAAAATGTCGCTTGCTTTTCAGCTCACTATTAAAGAGTCATTGTCAACCACAATGCATTTGTTTACATTTTACGGAAGTGACTGTTACGTTCGCGGGCGAGAACGAACAAAAATGTATGTCTGTATCTTCATCTTGTTTACGCTCTCTGCCCTCCTTGACCAGACACAGCGACACGCGCTGGCCAAGGAGGCTTTCTTGTATTTGTAATAACTTTCTTCTTAGACTTATGTAAGTTTTTCAACAACAACAACAACCGTACCGTTTCTAAACCTTTTAATTCTTTCTCTTTTACTTCTATCTCCTCTAACTTAAGCTTCCGCTGTTTATATACTGTCCGCAAGATATTTATAGAACATTACATAAATACTATTTTTAAATACTGCGTAAACGATAAATATAGCAAAAGCATGACTCAGCATAATTACGCAATGTCTTAAATTAAGAATGTTTATGACGTGACTGGCTTCACGTCACAGTGACAAACAGCAACAAATGACGATTATAACCATTTCTTTGGTGCAATTTTAGTATAAAAAAGTTAAAATGAGCAGGTATAACCATAGGATGGTAGTAATAATATATATTATGGATCGAAAATCGAAACATCTATTATTGCGCCATTGAAATGGCCGCCAAAGCAGGTTTGGGCGCACAATGCATTGTGGTTGACAATGACTCTTTAATGATACCTGAATAACTGTGTAAAAAATCTGTCATTTTCAATACTTTTTCAATCGTTAAAGCATTGCTAGGCTATAAATTGAGCTATATTCTATGAAATTCAAGTTGAAAAGGTTTAATTTAAGAACTGAGATCTCCAGCAACAAAAGGTGGTCGTCATATGTTAGATAAAACAAAGTAATTTTGAGAGGAACGCCAAAACGATTTTGGGTTTTGAACACTTCTTGCAATTTTGTTGCGACACAAGTTGCACGCGAAATTGCAAGGTTATCATGTCTCGCAATCAACAAGTCTCGCAATATTTTTGTTGCATGCAACTACCATTGCACGAAGTAGAACCTCGAAAGGCCCTGGGATCGAGGTTGTCAGGTTCTACTTTTTGCAACGATTGCGGCGACGCATTTTTAAAGCATTGCACAGTGTAACATTCCTCTTGCAACTTGTCTCGCAATGTTTACGATACACTGAATGGCTTCCTATTGGTTTTTGACTGACAATATGGCGGAAAACGTTAGCACTCGCGGTTTTTATACTATTTTTAATAGTGATCATTGCAAGTTGCATGGAACATATTGTTTGGTGTAACATCCCTTGCAATGCAATGCTGAAATCGTTTTTCTTAACATTGCGAGACAAGTTCTGCGATAGATAAGATAGATAGCCTAGATAAGATAAAAACTTTATTTATCCACGCTGACCCCGTCAACCGAAGCTGATTTCCACGAGGGACGTGTGCAAAGAAACATTCCATAAAGAATGATATTAAGAGCTACTTACAGAAATAAGGCAAAATGTTCATGAATTATTTACATGATACGAACGTTATTAGAATATTTACAGGCACATCAATTTACTTATTATTCTATGTCAATGATGTGAGCAGCGATTTTATTTTGAAAGGAAGAAAGAGTTTTGCTTTCCCTAATTTCCTTTGAAATAGAATTCCAAAGGTATGCTCCGTCATACGTGAGACTATTTTTCATAATAGTACGCGGATTTGGTAAACTAAGACCACTAAGAGACAAGTTGCTTAGTGTAACAGCGCCTTAAAGATATGGGACATTGGAGAAAGATTGCCTCTTAATACTAACATGTGTCTTATTCCAGGTGAACGCGGAAGTGGTGCGTCAGCTATATTGTCAAACTGGCTGAAAAAGTTCATTCGTGATCACCCTAGAATCGTCGTCATATCACACTACACCGAGAGCGGTCAGCGGTCAGCAGAGATAACGTCGTTCATGAGACGATGCACATCAGAATTGCGCTCGGAATATCGTGGACTAAATCCCATCATCCAGCTTGACTTTCTAGACCTGACCGATTTCGATACGATCACGGAAGCGTTTCACGCGTCGCTGTCTTTGGGGCCCTGTGTTTTAGCGCTAGACGGTCTTTACCACCTGACAGCCTGTCAAGACATCGCTGCTCACGTCATCAAGCAGTTGTCATGGTTACCTATTAATATTCCACCTGCATGTCGGGTTGTGGTCTCGACGACCCGATCAGATATAAGTTACAAGTATTTATCCAGCCGTTCTGACGTACATCTCATTAATATTCCGTCGTTGAACAGCAACGATAAGTCGCGTGTTCTCCACGAATGGTGTGGACTACACGCGAGTTATCTCAACTCGCGGGACGAAGCAACAATCCTCGCGGGAAAACTGAGTGGACGTCCCGTATACCACGCAGTATTGGCAAACGAGATTCGGCTACACGGCCGCGCGGAGATTGGGGAGAGACTACTCGAGGCCTGCACGCGCGCCCGCTGTCTGTCAGATTTCTGGACAGCGGTTATACACACTTGGTCCCAGGACTACAGTTGGCTCAAGCCTAACACGGTCAAGAACGGCGTTCCAGTGAAGACGCAAGTCTCCAAAGATCGTTTTAACAATGGTTGGATACCTGACACACTTCGGCTTCTCGCCGTCTCCCGCGAAGGTAAGCTTTTATATTTGCCTTCCTCGTGAAACAGTTGAGAGGCTTGGACTTAAACTATCGCTGCCTCTCACCATGGATAATAAAATACATGGATAGGAAACTAGCTGACGTGACCTAATGTTTTCAATGGGATGATGGCGTTGCAACCTTAGGTTGCAAACCAAATTCTCAAAAACGGCATGTTTAGCGATAATACAGCTAAACATTTTAGTCAAAGAGCAAATAAATATGACTAGTAAGCCATTCTACGATGAAATCTCTAAGTATTCCCGGTCAATTTTAAGAAATATTTCAAGCACTAAACAGTGAAAAATGCATCGCAAATTTCGTAAAAATTGGCGACGCCAATTTCGTAGCTACAAATGTTAAAAAATACAAAACAAAGACGAAAAACATTTACCTTGAATACTTTGTCGTGGCTTAGGCAT